ATTGATTTGTATACACTGCAAAGTGATAAAGGGATCGCATGGTGTGCATTCAGTCACCCACATGTACATGTACATGACGTTAATATTAATAAACTTGCAGACTTGTGGGCTTCCAGGTTTTCTATGACACAATCAGAATCTCATGTAAAGAACTGACATAGATATTGCGCTGCCACCTTGATATGGCGCGCCTGGGAATAGCACTAACTATGGAGTGCAAAAATGTACAAAATTAAAGCTTGGGTATAGCACATGGCTTCCACCTTCGGAGCGTGTGATTCATGGCAAAGACTACCCTGCCTGTTCAGATGTCCCTTTTTCTATTAGAAATTATCGGCGGTCATGTACTAAATCTTTGAAGAAAACACTGAGCGTTCGCATAGATGCTTCTTTATGCACGTATGACTGTTTTACTGGACACTTAAAATCAAGAGTCAGTGTACTTTCAAAGCCTATAAGAAGCAGCTTGTATAACTTCAATATTACATTGTTCAACTTGTATTTAAAAAAGAGTTTTTCCCCATGCGTTGATGGGTTAGAAATGTGTGAATATACCATTGACATCACGCTTTGTTTACATGTCCGCTTTCCTATGGAGCTTTCCTCTGTCGTCTTTATCTGGTTCCCTCAAAAGTATGCATCTGCATATTTCTGGTTTTTCACCAGAACTTTTTAAAATTTTAAACACTTCACACATTTTGCCTAGTTGTTTCTGAAACAATGGATAAAAAAGGTCGTAACTTGTACATTTCCCAATCATGTTACCAACATAGAGACTATGAACGTTTCTGCTGCTTTAATTACCAGGTTTTGAATTTTAAATCTACTCTCCCTCATATTCAAGCAGGAAAGAAAGAAAGCACCATTACAAAGTTAGATTGAAAAATATCAGCGATAATTTGACAAAAGAAAGCAAATTTCTATGGCTGATGACACTGGATATAGCAGAAATCTATTGCTAAAACACTGCCGTAATAGTTGTCTAAATAATTATGGGTTTCATAAGCAGACAACCGACGTTGCGTACGTAATGTTTAAAAATCGAGGCCATCACGCAGCTTCGGCATATGAGCGTATCACTAGGGCAAGTTGTGTAGCTCTGCCCGGGGCGGAGTCCACTTAAAAATGAACGAAGGGGACAGGTTCCACGCCACACACGCCATCAACTGCTGAAGAACACCGAGCACTTTGCTACTTGGCTGGCGGGAGAAATTGAGAAGGAAGAGAACTAATATGATTATGATATGTATAAATAGAATTGTTGGGGGGAATGTGTTCATGGAATAATATTAATGATATGGAGAACAGTGGCTTCCCTTCTTTAACATAAATTGACCTCCCTAGATATAACGGAGCCGCACCACAGTTCTAGGTCAATCTCATAGGTACCTAACGGCGAAGGTGCTTAACATCAGTGTCGAATGGGATGTATTGCTCCAATTTTTGAGACTGATTCTGGGGAACCGTCTGATTTCTCTTTCCTCTCAAACCTCATGTTACATTTTGACTATGAGATGAGCGTTTGGTTACCTACAGTAAAGTAGATAAGGCCTATTTGTACGTAACACAACCGTGAAAAAATGCCTTAATGGTAACTATCTGTGTCTGGGCAGTATACCAAAAATTATCGGCATCTACTGCGTCTGAATAATATCTACGCCCTTAAAAATTTCTATTAAAAACAGCCGTTGAAAGTGTTTCATAAACTGTACCGAAAAATGACCAAAAAGTTTTATTGTAATGATACA